AGTTTGGCATCTTGAAAGTTTGGCATCTTAAATGTTTGGCATCTTAAATGTTTGGCATCTTTAGTGTTTGGCATTTTTAATGTTTGGCATCTCTAAAGTTTGGCATCTTTAATATATGGCATCTTTAATGTTTGGCATCTTTAAAATTTGTCATCTTTAATGTTTGGCATCTTAAATGTTTGGCATCTTTAGTGTTTGGCATCTTTAATGTTTGGCATCTTTAAAGTTTGTCATCTTTAAAGTTTGTCATCTTTAATATATGGCATCTTTAAAGTTTGGCATCTTTAATGTTTGGCATCTTTAAAATTTGGCATCTTTAATGTTTGGCATCTTAAATGTTTGGCATCTTTAGTGTTTGGCATCTTTAAAGTTTGTCATCTTTAAAGTTTGTCATCTTTAATGTTTGTCATCTTTTATGTTTGTCATCTTTTATGTTTGTCATCTTTAGTGTTTGTCATCTTTAGTGTTTGTCATCTTTAATGTTTGGCATCTTCAATGTTTGTCATCTTTAAAGTTTGTCATCTTTTATGTTTGTCATCTTTTTATGATGGTCCCTGTTAACCCAAAATAATTTTTAATACAATCACACACGCCATCATTATATGTTTATGATAATTGTGCACATTTTTATTTTCCCATTTGTACTTCCACAAGCATAATACTGAAGTCAGTTCTTGCATGGACCTGTGGGAGGTCCATGGTTCTTGTGAATAGATAAGTCAACACTATCAAATAGCTTCACAGGCTGCTTATTTAATGAACACAAAAAACTGAAGACAACAATATTAAATAACTTCACAAACTGGTTATTCAATCATCAACACAAAAAGCTGTAGACAAGAATATGAGAGTAATGACATCGTTCATCACAATAAGGCTACTGGCACACAGGAAATGTAATGTCAGCCCGTCCAGGTCACCCCCTCGCCTGGGACACACTGGGGGTCAGACAGGGGGCGGGGTGTAGCTTGTTGAAGTTGTACTGTCTGCCTGTGAAATGCTTGTCATAATGCATATCTCTATGAGTAGACCTACTGTGTCAGAGAGACCCGTGAAGATCTAGGCTAGATTAGGTCTTCAGCAACCCATGCTTGTGGTAATCGGCAACTAACGGGATCGGGTGGTCAGGCTCACTGACTTGGTTGATGCATGTCATCAATCCCAATTGTGTAGATCGATGCTCATGATATCAATCACTAGATTGTCTGGCTCAGACAATTTACAGACTGCAGTCATATAGCTGGAATATTGCTGAGTGCGGCATTAAACAACAAACAAACAAACCAAACAGTGACAGAGTGTTTGTTCATATGTGATGTCACTTTATGTTCAAGGTTGTGTTCATTTGACTCTAAACGTTTGTCATTGATAATATAATCATTAATACCATTGTCTAATTATTAAATTACTAAAACTTTCTTTAAATTCATATTTTGTAATGTACTTATGTAACGTCCAATATTAGATAACCGTCCTAAATATTTTTCTTGTTAAAATATATTACCACCATATATTTTGCAAAAGAATCTAAACTCATATCCTGTATTAGCACATGTTTTTAATTGTTTAAAGAGATGTTGATTATGAAAGATTTTATGTCACACAAACAAAAGCTTTTCAAACCTTTTATCAAGCACAAATATTAATTTTTGAATTTGCTTCTCACCCGATTTTGCAAATTTATTCCCTCCCTAATTCAAATCCCCCTTTCTTGAAGTGTGAGCATACTGCATGAGCTTGGACATAAAAATTAAGTGATGTCGTTAAGGAATGAGACAAAAAACTGAAAAGGAAGAGTTATTTTCAATGAGTCTAAGAGTTACCTCCCCTTGATCTAATCCAAGCGATATCTCCTGTGGGAGCCAGTTTTGGATGATAAATCAATTTTTTCTCCCTGTCGGAACTCTTTACCATGAAGGTAATTAATGCCTTCACACAGAATACTTGCCTAACAGACTTGTGAAGATCTGGGGTAGAATAGGTCTTCAGCAAGCCATGCTTGCCGTAAAAGGCGACCATGCTTGTGGTCAGGTTCGCTGACTTAATTGATGCATGTTATCGTATCCCTAATTGATTGGATCAATGCTCATGATGTCAATCACTGGATTGTCTGGTCCAGACTCGATTATTAACAGACTGACGTCATATAGCTGGAATATTGCTGAGTGCAGTGTTAAACAACAAACAAACAAACAAACAAATAAACCTGCCTAATATTCTCCGTCTGCAGCGGAGAGAGGACATATTTTGATAAGACAACACACCAGTGTGAAAACTATCTTTTCTCTGTTTCCATAAATTAGAAAAGTACTTTATAAACTGTGATGATAAGTGCTTTTAATTTATTTACAGTATGTTAATTGATGAAGGTCACATCCATTGGAACTCCAGACCTCACAGATAACATGTTATTGCTGGGCTAGGCTGATCTAGCAGTGTAAGCTGTAACAAAATGCTGTGCAGAGTTGTGTCCCTTAGCTGTATCAGGAGCCACTATAGGGTTATTGTCCTTAAGAGCTTTTCAAAACTAGACTTGATATGTACTTCAACAGAGCTTGAAATCTTCTCCGTTGGTGCTTGAGTGAATGTTGTTTTACGTCATAGTCAGCAATACTCCAGTTTTCCAAATTTCCCCAGAACCCTTGACATCCTTATTGGACATTATGTGTTGTGGATCAGTGTTAGGGCTGGGACGGGGAACTAGGGGACTCGGACAAAATGTTTAATTGCAAAAATTATCTGGAACTTCCATGGTTACCGGGTACACTATAAGTGACTAATGTTCGCATTCCTTCTGACTTTATGTTTGAATAGTCAACTTCAGTTTATCATCCAAAACTGGCTCCCACAGGAGATATCCTTGGATGAGATCAAGCGATATCTACAGTGTAGATATCGCTGCAATGAAATTACATCACAATGTTCTGCAGACCATTGTGACGTCACTGGTTACCATGACGTCACAATCAAATGACATCACTAATGGCTCTGGTACTGAAGCTGTTAGCAGTACTTTTTACACTGAAGACACTGCTAATTACAGTCTACAAACTGAAAAAGGTGGAAGAATGATGTTGAATGATAAATAAAATCTCACCCTCGTGTCTTTTGATATCAAATATATCAACACTCGTTGATAAAAGTGGTAAAAATCCTCGGCAAGCCTTGGAATTTTTCCACTTTTATCAACGAGTGTTGATATACATGTATTTGATATCAAAAGACACGAGGGTGAGATTCTCTATTTAGCCAGGGCTACGGTCAAATTATTCCCAATCGGACATTTGTACCCATCTCTTGAGACCAACAGCGGGTACCCGGGTAGAGTGGGGTAACAGTGGGGTGGGTAGCCGGGTAGTAAATTTGGACTCGTCCCAGCCCTAAACAGTGGATTGGCTGCTATTACACTTTAACGTTGAAACTACTGACAATCACACACTGTAGGGCGAGGAGATATCCTTATTCTGTTGTCATTAGCATGTAACATTTGACTTGTGTGGCCCAGATTGTACTGTGATTGTATGTGTGAGATAAACAGGATGTTATAACGACCTCGTAACCCCCAGCAGTCAGATGATGGAGTGAGAACTGTGTGTGGGGCACTGTGCCATCCTGACATGCACGATGGAGGGCTGGGGGAGGGGGAGGGGTGATGGGGGATGCGGAAGGGGTGAGGGAGTGGTGATACATACACTACACAATACACAGAATTAGTGTTGTACGTAAATGACATATTTTATGATATGAAACTAGGAAATCCCAAGTTATTTTCAAGATTCAAGTCATGTTCATTTTGAATTTTTCCCACTTTTTCCATAAATGTCATCTTAATCTATCCATCTCTAAAAAAAATATTGAGCTACATGTATGCAGTTTGTTTTTTATTTCGGAACAGTCCAACCAAATTGGTCAGCACATACTCTTTGACCATAAAATCCAAATATTGTTGAGGCCAATACTAAAATAAACTAGGTGGGCTTTGTTGCAACTGTAAATATATCAGAATTAAGAAAAACAGTATTGTTAGGATAGATTTTTTTTTATGGTCTGGTGAAAAATAAATATGATACAAAACAAACATTGTTTGAAACTGAATTATGATTCTTTACACACATACTTTTGGTTTTTGGTTTTCCTTTGAAATGATTTTTGGAAATAAAAATAAATATAAAAAGATATTGAAGTAAATATTTATTCATAAATATGTCAACAATAATAACTTCACAGTTTTTGGAAATGAAAATAAATATAAAAACATATTGAAGTAAATATTTATTCATAAATATGTCAACAATAATAACTTCACAGACTGCTTATTTTATCATTAACACACAAAAATGTAGACAGTACAAAATTGGTGACATCATCCTGCGCAATAATGCAACACAAGCCCCACCCATTCTATCATCAGCCAATCAGGAAAGACTAGTCCATGAGTGGGTGTGGCCTGATATTTTTGGATTGATAGAAACATAAATGAAAAATTGTTTGCATGGTTAGCCTATCTTGCAGTATATTTATGATACATATAATAACTTGCAGTTTATTTATATACTTGTACCAAATTCTATTAGCCCCACCCATTCTATTATCAGCCAGTCAGGAAAGACATAAAAAACATAAATGAAAAAATGAATTGCATGGTTAACCAATCAAATGCCATGGAATCACTTGCAGTTTATTTATAAACATGTATCTGCACAAAACAAGACTACCATTGCTTTAGATAGATGACCCTGAAGACTCCCCACATGGGTAAAATGCGTGAAGCCCATTTCTGGTGTCCATCACTGTGATTTTGCTTGAATATTGCTAAAAGCGGCTTAAGACAATACTCTCTCACATCAGATTTCATTCACTCATTTGTTTTCATTCAAAAATGTTTCTAAACATTTCAGTTTCAATTGGATTTTCCCTGAAAATAGTTCTGTTTGTTTGCAATTTTCTATCTTGCTGTCATATCCTGTTTTTTAATCTCTGTCTCTGTGGGTTATTTCCAGGTCCCCATTCACGGGCAGAGTCACAGCGCCAAGGGGCCCCGCCTGTACCCCGGGGGTAGTATGTACAACAAGCGAGTTGTCAAGTCCGGTAACAAGCGCGACACCAGCCCCGGGAGGGATCAGTCCGGAGCCTTCATCGACAACTACAGCTTCGTGTAGCCGTGGCTACAAACAACCGCGGTTATATTTCTACAATCGTTTGTAACTTCAGCTGACATTATTGTTGAGCTGCGCCTTATTGAAACATGGATAAACAACCTTATTGAAACACGGATAAACAACCTTATTGAAATACGGATAAACAACCTTATTGAAACACGGATAAACAACCTCACTAAAATAATAATCAATACTTGTCATGAAATGTCGTTTTCCTATTGGCCAGTCGCAGACTTGTATAAACCCATGCCAGTTTGTACCGGTATGAGCGGTCATGATGCTTTTCTGTAGCCGACTGCCAGGGGTGAAATGATACAGCAAGGTCACGATATGATACATATCACGATACAAAGGTCACAATACCAAGGCCGTTGTTAAGTTTTTTTGACAGGGGGGGCAAATAAGATTATTCATTTTTTGTTCAAGTTACTTTCACAAGGAAAAATGTTTTCTGTAAAAACTGTCCCCCCTGCCCCCCGGCTGGCTACGGCACTGGATACAATACGTATCATGCATATATACGTCAAATCACATGGAAATGGCTTGACAATAAATATTTCAGAGCAGGTTGAAACGGAAAATCCAAATGTAGACACATGTTTGTAGGGGCTATTTTTAGTAGTGAATTTGAAACGCTAATTACAACACACTTTACCATATCTTTATACGAGTACTTTGTAATTTATTTCAGCAAGTGTATAGTCTTGTATCGATACAGAGAAAAACGTATCGTGTACAGTATCGTCACATGAAAACTGATGTACCGGTGCACCGACGTATCATTTCAGTCCTACCGACTGAGACGTCGTATCTTTTCGTTACGTTAAACAGTGTGACATCATGATATTGGCGTACGGTGTAGAACTAAACCTTGCAAGGCTTGCTCTATGTTATGTTGGGTGCTCTCGCACGTTGGCTTACGAAGTAGCCGTGCTACACACTGTCTGTCATGAATGCGAGCAAGGTACACGTATTATGATGTTACAATACAATACAATAGTTGAGCACAGACAGCACCATAATTTGTTTAATCAGTGTTTTCTTGAAAAGCACTCAAAAGATTGAACTCGACCCAGGCCACTTCACTAAATATGTCTGCTTGCACCAAAGAGTTAGCATTTAATTTTGTCATACTTTGTTTCGAAATTTGACATAGTCTAACTGTAGATCAGATAGAATTGTGAATGGATGAGTGAAGCTGTCAATACAAAGATCATGTTATCTTCCTCGGCCATATGCAGGCCCACACCCCACCAACATATATTTTTAAACTGAAAATAGTTGATTGATGTTTTTTGCCACGAGGGCTCCAAATTTGACGATTAGAATGACAAGATATTACAGATATCATGAAAAGTTAAAGTGGCGTTACTTTCCAAGTAAAATTATTTAATTGCATCAGTGTATAAAGAGATGAAAGTCTTCCCAGGAGTGAATGCTCGTACATGTTACTGTCAAAATAGTTAACATCCAACATTTTAAACAGTATTGGCCTTTCTGTGTTCCCGGGGTGTAATTTGGCTTATTTAAACTGTAAGTAAAACTAAATTACGAGGGCATGCAAGGGTTTGGGTTTCTAAACATTAGATTCTCTTTAAAGCTATTTCCTGCATTTTTCGGTCGGGTAGCCTAGTGGTTAAGCGTTCGCTCGTCACGCCAAAGACCCGGGTTCGATTCCCGACATGGGTACAATGTGTGAAGCCCATTTCTGGTGTCCCCTGCCGTGATATTGCTGGAATATTGCTAAAAGCAGCGTAAACCATACTCACTCCTGCATTTTTGGACCATTTGTGTTAGATTTGTAATATATAAAGGTGTTTCCCCCAAAACATTTTTTTACTTTCATTCAAGAAACATCTATGATGACGAATACAATCTGAACATTATAACGAAACGATATTACTTTTGTGTGTTTTTACATGTTCATTCGTGTGCGTAAAGATTCCGATTTTCAAGTTAGACGATAAATATCGTGTTCGATTCTGTTGAAGTTGAACTAAAAATTTACTGCATAGATGATAATTTGAGCTTTACTTATAAAAAGATGTGTTTTTTGAGGTGTAAAAAATCATGCTTTTTTTAGGTGTAAGCAATTGCTTTTCTGCGATAATGGTAGTTTCGCCCCTGTGTTCCACTAAACCAACCATTCCAAACACTTCATGTTAAATTAGGGGTGGTCGGATAGCCTAGATGTTAAAGCGTTCACTCGTCACGCTGAAGACCCTGGTTCGATTCCCGACATGGGAACAATCTGTGAAGCCCATTTGTGGTGTCCCCCATCGTGATATTGCTGGAATATTGCTAAAAGTGGCAAAAAAACATACTTACTCACTCACTCACTCATGATAAATGAACAATAACAGATATTGATCCACACAGACGTATTTCTGTTCCCATCTCAGCCAAACTTCAGTCCAGTTCCAGAAACCAGAAACTACTGAAGTGGGGCAGGTGGTGCGGTAGTCGAGTGGTGCAAGTGTTAGCTTATCACTCTGAAGGACTGGGTTTGCTTCCCAACACGGGTACAAGCGAAGCCATACCTTTGCCCCCCAAGGTGGCAAACTATATGTTTACACTACTGTGTAATTAGTGTCAATATTTATAATAAACTATATATATATTGTTCCTTGAACATTCCATGTCTTATATTTATGTATATACCGATACAAATTGTGTATTATTTTTACATTGTAAATTATTTGTAAAACCATGCATTTTATATTATTTTATAATATATTAATATTTACTCATATATTCATATTATTTAGATTTTGCTGGAACTTATATATGATTTTATGATGTTTTTTTGTATATGAAATAATCGTGGACAATTTATATTTTTACATGTGTAGACAATAATTATTGTTGAAATGCTTTTTTTAATATACACCCCTAGATTTCCAGGGACTGTCCAGTACTAATGAAGTAATGTATGAAATTAATTATATTCAGTATAATAAGAACTTGTAATTAACATGAAAAGGACTGCGTGACCAATTTAATTATTGAGTCATTTGCATTATTTAAATGCACCAGTTTTAAGGCTTTAATTTTTTTAGTTGGTTTATGAGACCAACAAACACACTGAAATTAGAAAAAAATGGAATGACTCTTGACAAATATTTTTGGGGCAACTCTCTTTTACAATTAGATGAAATGAGGAAATTCACGAGATTTTATCACCGATGTTTGTAATAAATGGTGAATATTGTAACCAAAAATCTTTCAGTTATGAAAATGAAAAGCTCTTTGTTACAAATGTAATAATTGAGTCATTTTGCTGTATTTGAACTTACTTGAACATGTTGTCACGTGTTGTGATATTTATAAGTTGTACCATTGACCCTTATTACCCATCATATAGAATCTTATGTACTTATTGATCATTTTATGCCCGTAATCGTGCCTTGGTGATGCTATTTTCCTACAACTTGTCCCAAACCTTTTTACAGTTACCTACTTGTGTGCCTAGTTTGCCTTAATCAGTTGGTTCTAATCATTATGCCAAGAAAGTATTATATTTTCATATTTTTGTACCCATTCTGCTGAGTCTAGCACGTGTCCTGATGTCAGTGCTGCAAGTGATGTAAGTCTGGTAGAATAAGGAGCTATGGATGTTGGAAGCTAGTGCTGAAACGATTGATGGAGTAATTTGTAAATCCTTTTACGTGGATGGTCTAATGGTCATGTCTAGTGGTCATGTCTAGTGGTCATGTCTAGTGGTCATGTCTAGTGGTCATGTCTAATGGTCAAGTCTAGTGGTCATGTCTAGTGGTCATGTCTAATGGTCATGTCTAATGGTCATGTCTAGTGGTCATGTCTAATGGTCAAGTCTAGTGGCCATGTCTACTGGTCATGTCAAGTGGTCATGTCTAGTGGTCATGTCTAATGGACATGTCTAATGGTCATGTCTAGTGGTCATGTCTAGTGGTCATGTCTACTGGTCATGTCTAGTGGTCATGTCTAGTGATCATGTCTACTGGTCATGTCTAGTGGTCATGTCTACTGGTCATGTCTAGTGGTCATGTCTACTGGTCATGTCTAGTGGTCATGTCTAATGGTCATGTCTAGTGGTCATGTCTAATGGTCATGTCTAGTGGTCATGTCTAGTGGTCATGTCTAGTGGTCATGTCTAATGGTCATGTCTAGTGGTCATGTCTAGTGGTCATGTCTGGTGGTCATGTCTAATGGTCATGTCTAGTGGTCATGTCTAGTGATCATGTCTAATGGTCATGTCTAGTGGTCATGTCTAATGGTCATGTCTAATGGTCACAGGACATCAGCCCAAACATCACTCGTTTCATGAGACCAAGGGCCAGATTGAACAAATATATCGTATCAGCACTGGTGTGACTCCTTTCCTTTGGGGCTGGCTAGCAATACAGATCATAGAGATCAATAATCAGTAACTAAACATCGGTTAATTATCGATAAATAATCGGAGAAGCAACTTTAACCAAATATGCAAGAAAGTCCTGAAAGAAATCAACATATTTCACGCCACCGGTGAGCAGCGACCCATTTATGCATAGATTACTTTGTGGACGTATGAGATATAACAAAAACAGTTGCTTTCCGTCTTCGACAATTGACATGATTGACAATAACAAGTCTGTTTCGGTAAATGTCATCTTTATTTCATTACAGTAGTTTATGTAAGTTATTATCGATGACAACAATTTCATATCGATAATCATTTATAGTTCTTCCCATCGATGATAATTCCGATTATCGATCGTTTTAGCCAGTCCTACTTTCCTTCTCACAGACTTACACTAGACACAGCACTACAACCTCATCCCATCCTTCCAAATGCTTCTACACTGCTGACATCTGTGCCTCACCACCATCCTATCCAGATCCAGTTTATAGGTGTGTGCCTTATTTTGTCCCGGAGGCCTTTCAAGTTTTATTAGTGACATACTACATATTTTATAATATTATCAGGAAAGATCTAGGAGGGATCACCAACTGATGTGTCAACCAGTGGTTTGCTGACTAAACTAGTTTCAAGAGCCATTGGGGCGGTCGGGTAGCCTCGTGGTTAAAGGGCTGCTCGTCACGCCGAAGACCGGGTTCGATTCCTGACATGGGTACAATGTGTGAAGCCCATTTCTGGTGTCCCCCGCCGTGATATTGCTGGAATATTGCTAAAAACGGCGTAAAACCATACTCACTCAATTCAGGAGCTATCAGTATATCAATGGTAGAGGTATTGTCCTCCAATTTCACCAGAAATACCATGTCAACAAATCCGTTTCATCTCAAATTTTAAATTTGTATTGACCAAGTTTACTGGTTATCACCTGTTCGTTTACCTGAATTTGCTGAAGGGATACAATGTCATTTTATTTACAGGGGGGGGGGGCGTATTATAGGCGGGGTCGCATCATAGATGGCGATATACAGTATATCCACTGTTTCTCTGTGGGAGTACCACAAGCAGCTGCGAATC